TATACAATGCACGTATACGAGTATATATTTAAAAGTATTTTTTGGGTAGATATAGGCAGTGGCGTAGCCAGGGGGGGGGCTAAGGGGGCTATAGCCCCCCATGGGCCATTTTTATATGTATAATGTATCTTGACTATTTAATAGAATCAATGGATGCTCGTTTTAATCAAAGGTTTATTGATGTTATGCCACTTGAAGGACTTATTCCGGCCAATTTAAATATGTATGACGATAAAAATATTATAAAACCTACTAAAATATATGTCCAAGATCTCCATGATGATTCCTCATCTACAATCAGAGCTGACCTGTTCATATGGAGGCAACAATGGAGTCAAAATACTATTACAAAACCGAATTCTGCTCTTGATTCACTCTCTCATCGCACCAATCTTCGACCTAACATTAAAATACTTTCACAATTATTCGCCACGTTACCAGTTACCTCTTTCACTCCGGAAAGAACGTTTTCAGCACTTAATTGCTTAAAAATATTTTTAAGAAGCACCATATCGGAAAACAGACTGAATGGGTTAGCTATAGCTAATATAAATAAAACAGAGCAATTCGATGAAAGTGAAATAATAACTAAATTTGCCAGAAATTCGCCTAAGAGGATGCAGCTGTCAGAGTGGAGCAAGTGACTGAACACTGAAACCAAAATTATTATTATTATTATTATAAATTATATTTTAATAAATATTTTTAAAACTATACTAAAATGCTTGAATTACGTTTAGAAACTTGGTGGTAGACGGTGGGTGGGGGTTAAGGGTGAATTCTCATATCCTCTCTTACCTTACTTATCCAAAAAAGTGGTTAGCCCCCCCCCCCCATTTAAAAATCCTGGCTACGCCACTGGTATGGATAGGTATAGGTATATATAGATATAGACTTGATTTGTATGGGGATGGGACATTGAGATCGGAGGGTGCCACCCATCAGTCTTATAAAAGACAATTTTCTATAAATTTACATACTTAGATAATTAAAACATAGTTATTATTTTGGATTTTAGATTAATTAAAAATATTGTGTAATATGCAGTGCACTGAAATGGTGAAAATGAATTGCGAGCATAGTGAACAGCATTTTAATGAAAAGTTGATGACACTTGTTTTCAGTTATGCATTTTAGGGAAAGAGGCGGCAAAATCTTAAATACGGCACTGTGTTTAGCCATGTGTATAATTACCCAGTTTCTGCATTAAGAAGAGAAATATACTACCCATTACAGGAAATGTTTAATTATTAATCCTTAAATGTTTATTTCTCTTGTTCAAAATACACACCAGATTGTATTGCTTTACATGTTATTTTGGTATAATATGTAAAAAAAAAAAATGCTGGTTATACCAATTTATCATTACGAAGAATTTTGAAGAGAAGCGAATCCCATAGCTTTATCTTTTTCGGTGTTAAATATAATACGACGTAAAGGTCCAACGGTTATCAAGTTCATTTACATAAATGAGTTCCGTTTTCTTCTCATTACGATCAGTGGCGCAACTAGGAAGAGTTTTGAGGGTTGTTCCCCGTCCCAAATAAATATTTAATGCTAGTATAAATTGTTTTTCAATATGCATTATGTATAAGTATTAGTTAAACAATTTAAAGATTTTACTCATAAATTTAACTTAACCTTACTCCATTCTCCCCACCAAACACCTTCCGTAACTAAGTTTTTTTTCAAATGTATAACCCCTTCCCTCCACCTATAAATAAATCCGGGTCGTAAGACTGATTACGATTACCGCGTTTTGTATTCTGGTATGAAAAATAATTATTATTATAATGAACATAATTGTAAATAAGACGTATCACTATGAAAAATATCTATTATAATAATAAACATACTCGTTATTGTAAATAAGACGTAAAACATTATAAGGGTGTTAACAAGCGATGAAAAACATATTTGCTACCGACGGGTACGTCAGGAAAAAACATTTAAAACGGCAAATTTCGTTCCAAGTTTGTTAATTTCTATCCTGCAATTATATAACATTCAAATTTTAATAAAGTTTAAAATGCTTAGAAACACTCGACGGGATTCGAAATTTAGTTAAACGCTTAAAAGCATGATGATTGATTAATACTCTTCCGCTATAACACTGCATCTGCTGTAGTACTCATGTATCATCACATCTGTTGGAAACGGTATTGATTTTTTTATAGGACTATTCGTTAATAACTAGGTATTATGACGTGACCCTGGTTAAAACTATAATTAATATTATTTACGTAGAGAGTGTAAATTAATGTCCGTCAATGAAATATGTATTTTTTATCGTAAATGGGGGAAGAGCGAAACCTTCCACGGCTAGTATTGACATTTTTTTTTTAACTACTGAGATAATCTTCAACGAGCTTCCCTGCACTTACATTTTTAAAATTATTTTACATTCGTATAAAAGTCGAGTCTTTTTTTATTGGGTTACATGGATCGTTATATTTACCGTTTCAATAGAACAATTATAATTGAAACATTCAAAAATGTATAATTCATGAATATATATATTTAAGCGGGAAAATTTCAAGAAAATTAAAATATGCTCTAGATATTTTTGTTTCTAATTTATAGCAAAATATTGATTGAGGAAGCCCAGGTTCCTCAGTTATTGTTTCATTTCTATGCGTTACACATTTTTCCATTTGATTTATAGGCCTTAAATAATTTTTAAGTTATAAATAAATTACATATAATCAATCGATATACAATTTTGACTTAATGAAATTACTCTGCACCAAAATGTATCACAAGCTTCATATAAAATACAAAAAAATGTATTTTATTTTATGAACAAATTATTCAGCATATAATTATTGTATGTATAAAGATATTTATGGAAAGGTAAAAAAAAAAGATTTCCAAAAAAATCAGTATAACTTGCTCAAGACTTTGACATAGTTTAATATTTAGTAGGGAAGACATTTTATTGTTTATTAGCGATGGAAAAAAATCCTGTGTATTGATAGAAGAAATTCAGTACATAACAATACTAAATACAAACAAGGACTTCATAGATAACAAGAGAAAAAAATATCTATATTTAGTCAATGAAATATACTTCAATGACTAAATACCTGAGACAGAGATAATAATAATAAATTATAACTTAAGTGTTTTAACAGTTCCTAATCCAAACATTCAAATATTGGTAAAAAAAAATATGAAAATAATTACCAAAATTTAATACATTAGTTATTTAGAGGTTTTTCTATATATAAGGAGTATGTTTGTTCCCAAAATATGTACAAGGTTTAAATTTTTATGTAAATAGAATATACTCACTTAAGAAGCATTAAAAAATGTAAATAATTTAAATTATAGAAATAAGAATTTCACTTTTCTTGTTTAAGTCGACTAATAACTAGACTGTCCAAAATTATAATTCATAATTTATTTTATGAAAGTTAAAAAAAATAACATTAATTTTTTTACCCATTATCAACAGCTTATTAATTAATACCAAATTAATTATTTAATTGTATGATTTATATTGACAAAATAAGTAATAATTTTTTTTATTCATAAAGGATACAAATTTAACTATAAGCCTTGAATTATTAAACATATAATTTGTATTACAATTGAACCCTTATTAGTTATAATAAAAAATAAAAAAATACTAAAATAAAAAATATTCTTTTTTTATTCAACAAACAAAAGTTACAAATATGGTTCAGGAAATTCAAAAGCCACGTCCCTACCAGTCAACTTTCTATAAACAGATGCATATGTGTCCACCTGTAACAATAAAAATAAAACAAAATGTGCATCAATAAAATGAATAATTAATATACAAATTTTAGATTTACCCCATTATTTTCAATGAATATTAAAAAGAAAATGTTAGTCAATAAATTTAACACTCAGCAAAATATTCACTGAATTAATAGTAAATTATTAACAAATAATAATATATGTCCGCTTAGACGCTAAATGTATCATTTAAATTTATACAATAGTAACACGCAGACAAATTGACAAGAAAAAAAATTAAATTGTGAAAACCTGATGTTTAAACCTGAAGAGATGATTTAAAAATTAATAATATACAAATTATTTTCAATAAATACCATACAAAATTCACAACTTAATTTTAAAAACTTCATATTTATTTCAACTATGAGGTGTTGATTAAAAATAAATATTAAAGAATTGATAGAGAGTTGATTTTCGAAAACAATTCAAGTCAAATCAAGTTAATTTTTAGGATAGGCAAACTCTAAAAAAATACTAAAGACAAGATGTTTTCAAAGTCAAATACTCTATCAACTCAATTAATGAATTTAACATATTTTTAATCATTTAATATAGCACATGTATTAACTCTACAGTTATTATACACTGTAAATCCTGCTGCAGTGCATGATTTACTTAATATTTATAAAATGGCTCTACTCATATCCATTACATAGGATACAATGAGTATTTTGTATACCTTCAGGAGTACCATAAGGAACTGTCTTATCTCCACCTCAATATTCAATATTCACCATAATAGTCAATTCAGCTACTTTTGTCCTTCAAAACATGCAAAACTGCTTATTTTGCTTATGATAAGAAAATATTTTATCGTATAAAATCAATCTCTGACTTATCTCCTTAAAAATGATATATAACAATTAGTGCCATGGGGTGAGAATCTTTGGAACTTGTCATTAACATTTCCAAATGTAGTATCTCTGTAATGACTTTCTACCATATCAATTTTCCTATTTTTTATACTTATTCTATCAATAATATCCCTTTTGAAAATGTCATATAACTCAGTAAAAAACTTAGGATTTATTCTCACTTGTATATATATATATATTATATGTACGTACAGCTAATTTGTTGCAAAGTTTACCATAAACTATGTCTCAAACAGAATTTAAACTCCTCTCTCCTCTAAATATTAAACTCTTTATTTTTCTCTTATTTGTCCTATTCTAGAATAGTTCCTGTTCTTTGGAATTCGTTCACTTGTTTGCTCATAGTGTAATCGAATTGTCCAAAGAAAATACCTTCATCATATAGCCTATAAGCTCAATATCTACTGTCCTACTATTCTCACAACATACCAGTTCAACATCTACTATTCATAAAAAATCTCACTGAACTAACTTATCATCTGCAATCTACTTTCTTCCAAAATTAACAGTCCTGATTTACTATCCCGTGTACTAAATATCCTCATCTATTCCTTTCTATATTCAATTCTCTACTAGAAACTACTAATTTAACTCTCAAACCATCTTATGCCCATCATCAATACCAATCTTTCTTTCACCCTTTAATATTAGGTATTGATATTTCCATTTTTTTCTTTTTATATTATACCTTATCATATAGCGTTTTGTATTGTATAACTAATAGGTATTTACCTTAAAACCTATTATGTATAAGTATTTTTTATATTTTCTGTCTGCTAAACAGTTCTTATTCTGGAAGTATCAAATGTTACAACCATTTCTGGGCCAACTGGCCTTTATTGTATTAGGTAAATAAATAAATATTATTTTTCTTTAGAGCAGTGTCGATTAAAAATAAATGAAATTTATAAACAAATTATGAAAATCAATATTATTTTAAATCGTTTATTATAGCACATGGATAGAACTTGACAGTTAAAGACACTGTAAAGAGCGCTGTAGTGCATTACTTAATTTACTATATAATAATATACATTTATTATAGTGTTGATTAAAAATAAATGAAATTTAAAATCAAATTTATGAAAATCAATATTATTTTAAATCATTTATTATAGCACATGGATAGAACTTAACAGTTAAAGTCACTGTTAAGAGCGCTATAGTGCATTACAAAATTTATAAAACAATTGTAATATTCTACATAACAGCAATTTTGTTTTTTTTTTTAAAGAAAAATATAAAGTATAATTAATTTGTGAAAATAAATCTAATACAATACAGATAAAACGCAGTTTAAAATACACTATTACACTACTGTTCATTTAATTAAATTCTTTGATGGATTAATATCAATTTTTTTTAAAATATCTATATTTAGTTTATTACATATTAAAAATCTTATCCTATTTAACAATTTTAAATTAAATTATCAAAAAAAAAAAAAAAAAATCAATAATAAACCAATCTATAATAAATTATCAACCTTAACCAAAAAGCAATCAATATAATCATCAGAAAATAATACAGAATATTTTTATTGAAATTATAAATTGATATATGGTACTATTTTTCTCTTTTCAAAAACTCATTGTTTTGTTGAACACTAGTAATACTGAAGCAAAATATGTTAATTTACCTTATGTTCAATATTTGTTTGTTGGGCCTTATCTAGATGTACTTTCATAATTTGTTTTCCATCTAATTTAACTCTAATACGTTTTCCAACAATTTCAGCAGGAAAAACCAAGTCATCAAGGATAGCATCATAAACCCATGTTAATGTTCGGCTGAAAATAATAAATAACCTCTTAGTATTACTAATAAAACAACTAATAGTATGTTTAATTAATATTCAATTTATTTTAATGTTTTATTTTAATGTAAAAAATAATAAAAATAATTATTATTTTAATTATAAATATTAAAATATATCACTTTATGTCTGCTTAGACGCTATAAGTATAATTTATAATATACAATAGTAACACGCAGACAAAAATAATCATATTTTAATATTATGAAATATAATATTAATTACCTTCTAGGACGCTTTTGCTTGCTCTTTGTTCGAGTCTTCCTAGTTGGTTTTGGCAAAATTCTACGATCGCCAATAAATACAACATGTTTGCCACTAAATTTTTTTTCTAGCTCCCTGACCAAACGAACTTGAATTTTTTGGAATTGAGCTTTTTGAGGCATTGGCACATAGATAATGACACTCTAGAAATTATTTTTAACAAAATTAGAATTAATCAAGGTATAAAAAGAATTTTGAAATGTTTAATTTTAAAATAAAAATGTATAGCTAACTTAAATAAAATCTATTGTAAATATTTTTTACTATAGATATCAAACAGCAATATTTTAATATGGCATCATTGTGGACCATTGTGATCAAGTACAAGAACACAACGAATTTGATAATGCGTATACATTTTTTTTTAAATATTTTATATGGTTTATTTGAATATAATAGGTATCTAATTATATTTAAGTATATTACACTTGTATAATGGTAAAATCTATTCAGGTTTTCAGAAAATCAACTTACAACAATTGCATTATAACGTGTTCTAACTGCAACATACATACACCATCAGTCCCAATGGATAAAATATAATGTCGATTAATCTTCATGGTCTGGCAACGCCTCGACCTTTGCGTTTATTCTGTAAGTAAATACAATAATTGTCTTAATCTTAATTATTAAGAAATTAAGTTGCACAGGGAAGGCAAAACGCAAAAATCTTAACGCTGCCAGTTAATTCATGAAAATATAGATATCAAGGGACGATGGGAAGAATAAATATAAAAATGGGTTAAAAAAATAAATATTAAAAGCAATAGGTACATAAAGGAATTTTGTATATTCTTTACACCTAGTCAACAGCGTGAAAGAGCAAAAAAAAAATGGTTCACCCAGGTATTCTGACCTTTTTGCCGAATAGCTCTATTTCCTTAGCTTTGGTAATGTACAGTTCTCGGAGTTGGGCCTTCAGATCGCTGTTATTCTCCAACTCAAGCAGTGCTTGAGCGATGGACAGCTCAAACGGGTCTGGGTCCGAGTTGCCTTTCTTAACGATTTTGGCGTGTGCGGAAACTGGCATCTGTGTGAAAAAAAAACAACGAAATCAAATTTCCATCCGGTTGCATCCGACGGAAACGTGACCCGATCAGTGTCGGGGGAGATCGCAAGGATCGGGTACAGATCAAAGCGCGAGTTTTTCGTACCTTAATGGATGTTCAGTGTGGATTAGTGTCGAGAAGTCAACGATGAAGATACAACACTGGTAACCTACGATGGCGATCCGAACGCGAACGGAGAAAAATGAGAACAGAGCCGCACACGAGTGCGGTCGGCCGTCGCAGTAAATAAAGAACGAGAAGTTTGCGATCTGGCGGGATGGTAGTTCATGGTCTGTACGGGGAAGGAGGCATCTTTCTGTCGCGCACGTGTCAACCCGACGATTCGAAAGAATACAGTGTGACCAACAATCGATATTTACGGCTCGCGCCATTGAACCGCGTTAATTTGAATACAATTGTACGTAATTTTGATATTCAAACGTAACATGACAAAATGACAACATTTGTACTATATTTATTACTGTTGATGAATCAAACAAATGGTAGATTATAAGTATATTAACATTCCAATCATAAATTGAGCAAATGTTTTTTTTTACACATTTTGATATATTTTTATTATTACTCTTATTTAAGTTTTACAAAAAACAAAATACAATGTACATTTATACAAACTCGCCAATTAATCGAATATTGAAATCAGCAAATGGGTATTAAGTTAAATATCTACGTCCCCAGGAAAAAGAAAATTTTTCAGCAACTAATTTTTGTGAGTTAAGGAGAATTCTAAGGAGAAATTACTAGTTGCATATCTGGTGTTGACATCATAGTATATATGAGTAAAATCCAGCTGATTAGGATTTTTCAAATATAGGGTGATAGTTTTTAGACAGGATTCGCAATTTTAAACATTTGATTTATACACATTTTAAGCAATTAATTATATTAATTAATACTGATGCGTAGGCGGACATTTGGTTGAATTTTTGGGGGGGCTATAATAATTCAATGTAAATTAACCCGCAGACGCTTCGCCCACCACATCCTTTCCATACACAGGTAAAACTTATTAATATAGATATGTTTAAATTGTATTACAAAAACACTAAATAACATATATAAAAATAAATAATATTTTTTTCTTTAATGACAAATATCTATTTGTATCAGCATAGATATTCAAAATATCATCACTTTTTATGTATTTAATATATCTTTTCCAACGCATACTATTGAAAGATCTCTGAACCTATCTTGAACAAATTATGTTCTTAGCCAAGTTTTTATTTTTTTTCATTGCACTGAAACTTCTTTCGCAAGTAGCCAAACTAATTGATATTGCTAATGCTATTGTAGTATTTTATTATTTCTTATTTTACAATTTTCAAAAAAACTAACAGATAATTATAAAAACAACGAATAACATTTCTTACAAAGCTTAGATTTTAGATGAGCTATTTAAATATTTCAGGGTGGGGCTAATTTAGAAATAAATAAATAAAAGCTTAGCATATAAATTGTTATATTTTTAAAGTATAACCGGTTTCAAATTAAAAAATCATTATCAACATATACAAAGTCAATAAAACCGCAACTAAAAATGAAAAAAATAATCAATGAGTTATGATTTTATTTTTATTTTTTATTTAGTCTACATTTTATTGACTTTGTATGTACTTTATGATGAATTATTTATTCGAAAACCAGTTATATTTTATAAATATGATTATACTCTAGGCTAAGCTTTAATATACATATATATTTAAATTCCAATTTAAGAGTATTATCCGTTTAATTATTATTTTATTATAAATATAAGAAGAAAAAAAAAATCAAATTTTTTATAAGTTGTACAATAAATGCATGGAAAATATGTATAATAAATAAAATTATAAAAATATGAATATAAAATGAAAAATAATATTAATAAGATTGAAAGATTTTACTAATAAGTAACTTTTTACTCAAATTATGTGGTGTACTGAACAATTATAATTGTTTTTAAATTATTGAAAATTAAATTTTACTCATTAGGTCTCCAAATAATTTTAAAACAATTTAACTATCATTCTACATCAACAAGTATAATTAAAGCACAAAATATCTGAAGGTAATAGTTCCAAAGTTTTCGAAGGGTAATTTATTGCCTTAATAACCATAATCATCAATAAAACCTTGATTTTTTTTTTTTTTTTTTTTTTATAACAGCATGAATACTGTCTGTTTTGCAACACCTTCTATAAATTTTTTTATGAGTTTTCAATTTTTCATTGCTGATGACAGTTTCCACACCATTATTTACAGACATATTTTTGATTTATAATATTGCCATCTTATTTGCTAAAAACTAAAATTTACTAAAATTAAAATATATAAATATATATTATATTAAATATAAAATTAGGACTTTTACATTGCACTAACTGCATGGAAGAAAGGTCAAAAATCATGAGCAAAATAATTACTAAAAATATAAATCATGACAATATACCGATAAATAACTGTTTTAGTTCAATGCAATATAATATGGTTTAAAAAAATATAAAAGATAGAATATGATTAAAAATATTAACAAATTAGTGAATTATGTAAAATAACATTTGGATTATTTTATTAAGCATGATTTAAATCAAGAACATTTCTTATTAAATTATAAACATTTTGTTCAAATAAAAATTTGCACTTATATAGTTTCCTGTATTTTATTTTTTTATAGTAATAATATACTTTTATTAAGATGATTAATAAAAAATAATAGTAACATAAGGTCACCAAATACATGTATAATTTGGATTCTTTAATTCAAATTTAAAATCAAATTAAGTTTCTAAGACCAACTTTAAGAAATACATAAGAAACAGCTTTGGAAATTATTATTTTTTCATGCAGCAATTGAATATAGTCAAATATAAATTTAAAACACTATAACAACTCATAACTTTGATAAATTAAACAATTTTTAAAGCTTGGACTAAAAAAAATGATAAGAAATTATATTTATCAAGTAATAATTGTTGATAATATTTATAAAATCTTATTAAAAATTAAATTATTAATTATATAACATGTTAATTTTTATCAAAAAATATTGTTTTGAGAATGACATCATATTTATAATTACATGTGATAAAAATGTTTAATACTTATGATCATTTTATGTAATATGATTAATGAAATATTATATATATTATAGTGTTTGCTATTTTGAAAGCATTTTGAACAGAATATAAATATAAAGTATAAATGTATAATAAAAAATATATTAATTTACAGAAATATTATTATTTTAATCTTAAAAGTTCTAACAGTAGTCAATATCATGATTTTTTTTTTTATGGGATTGGTAATTATTAAATAATTATTAATGAACTAAAAATGTCAATGTTATATATTTAAAATAATAAAAACATAGTGCATGAAATTATTATTTGTTACTAAAATATTATAATTAAAATATATTTATCTCTTAAAGCAAATTTTGTTTATTTTAAAAACATAAAATGATTCATAATAAAAATATATTATTTAAACTGTAAATTATAAAGAAAACAAATACAACAATAACGTTCAGGAAAGGAATGAACAAAACACAAGTTTACAATAATTAACAAGAAGATTCTCATTTATATTATGACTATATCTTAATTGAATGAAAAAAGTATTTACAAAAATTGAATGATACAAACTATAACTCTTCATTTTTGAATTTTCCTCGCCAAGATTTTGGCAATGGTACAACTGCTGGACATGGGACTTGTCCCAAAATTTCACACATACAATGTTTATCACACATATATCCAAAGTTGGCAGGATTATCTTTTTTCTCTCTAGCCATGGCTTCCATATCAAGTGTTTCTTTTGGTTTTCCGAGCACTTGTAAAATATGATCATGAATTCGATCTTTGTCACGGTTATCAACATCAATCAGCATGTCTTTGCCGTCACTCATGAAACACCTATTACCAATACACACATTATTCAATAATAATTACGAACTATGAAAATTATATACTATTAACGATGATAATATTGGTTGAAAATGTTTAACAAAAGCATGCCTACCTAATAAACGGTGTTGGTGTCATGTTCTTCAGAGTCAGTACTTGCACATCAGGATTTTTAAACTGTATTTGAGGGATGTGCCAAAATACAAACTCTCTGGTGCCACGATGATTTTCACCCAATGTGTTGTAGTGAACGGAGAATATTTTTATTCGGTCTTTTAAAACAATCTTACCAGCTTCCAAATACTGAATGGTTCTTCGTATCGGAGCTGCACCTTTCATAAACGGCATGGCTTAATGTTAGAAAATATTATAATCTTGTCGAATTATTAAGAAATATTAAATAGTAAACACTAAATTTTAAAAATTACAATTAATAATTTCACTGGCAATTTATAAAAAAAAAAAATGATAAAAAATGTATCTCAAGTTATCATTTATTGAAAGATACTGTTATCAACCGCTAATGGTTACCAACAACATGGCAACAATTTCTTATATTGCAATCGGATTCAAACTAAATTTAAATTTATTTTAATTATTTATTCATTTTTAAAATAATTTACATCATTATATCAAACAACAAACATGAAAAAGCTAAGAATAAAGAATTCTGAAATGACTGAAATAGTCGATAACATACAAATGGATCAAGTCAGTGACTTTGTGTTAGTTACTAAAACGGGAAGTGTTGCTCTAATTTGCAAAAATGGATGTATAGTCTGATATAACGTAGATTCACAACAGTTAAGAACATCATTAAACGTTTTTGGCCTTTTTTCTTCAGGCGTATTTGAATAAAGAGTAACTTCTCTAGTACGATGTATTATATTTTTAAGTCTTAAGTTTACATATTAAAATATTTATCAAATTTTAACTAGGTATCAAAAATTGGCAGATTTCGTGATTTTTATCAACATTTCAAATTCAAACGTTTATTTTTAAAAATCATGACTTCAGACTTTTGAGATTTTTTCACACGAATAAGAAAAATGTATGAGCAACATTGTGGCAAAATGTCAACAATTTTTTATTGTCGTTTTACGTAAAAAAAAAAAAGGATATCGTCGAAATGATTGCGGCGAAATGGACGGTGGCGAATAAAATAGTCCGTTAACGAAATGAATGGCGGCAAAGCGATTTCAGTAAAACGATTTCGGTGAATTATCTGGCAGCGAAATGAACTAGACCCATTATTTTTATGAAGTATTGTCATCTTACAATTTCATAAACAACTAAATTTCATAAACATAATACAACTTTTGAGCTGAAAGTACCAATACCTTTTAAAACGTTTTGATAATTACAAATTATTACAGATTCACTTTTCTTACTAAATCAATTTGAAATTTTTTTTTTCTACCATATTTCAATCGTCTTTTGAACTATTCATTTTTTTTAAGGTGCATAAGGTAGAATAAGTACGTTTGAAATTAATCATTCATTCATTTCGAAGTTAACCCCTATAACTCTTTCCTGCGACCGCCACTGGTTAATAACCGTTACCTAACCATAGATGATAGAGCAATTTCTTTTATAGCGCACTACTTCCATGACCGTTTATTTACTTATTTTTATTATTCTGAGTTTAAAAACGTATATGAAGTTAAATTTTGTTTACAGTTAAAGTATATTTTCAGTTTTTAATTATTTCCTTGGAAATTAAATTAATGGATCACATGGCTTAAATGTTCTATTGATAGACTAGATATTATATATTATAAAACATTTTACTACTGGGATGTTTGCCAATACGTAGACTAATAGATTGAGAAAACTGAAATTATATAATATTATTTCATCATTAGGTTTAATGTTTTAATTAATTGACGTTTGACGGTTAATATGTTTAAAGTAATAGTTTATTTGTCATTCATAGTATGAAAGTAATAGTTTTCTTGTGTAATTAATAATTATGAAACCTAATGTACATAGGTATGTACTACATGAATGACAATAGTGTAATATATTGGAAAGAATCTATTGATAAGGAAACGTTTCAATAGCCAAAAAACGTGAGTATTAACTATTTGCTTACAAAATATTCTATGTATTAGGTATTAAATCTAATTGCATCGAAAACATCAATGAGAATAAAAAAATTAAATAAAAACAAATAGATACAATACAATTATTTTAATTTCATTTATTATTGAAATCTTGAATGTATTTAAGAAGTTGAAGTACTTATTGGTATTAGGAATTTTATTGACAATTCCAAAAACAAATGAAAAAATATAATATTGCTTTTGGTAGAAATATTTGATTAAGTGTTTATAAATCAAATTCAATTTTTTTTATAAAAAATATATGTAAAATATATTTAGGTAACTAATATTTATATAATATATATTTATAAATACTAAGATAAAAAAAAAAAGTTAAATCGGTAAATTTAAACAGAAATTATTTTATCTATAGTATAACAAAAAATTTAATCGAAAATTTCTTATAAATATATTTTAATAACAACAAAAATTAGGTGTTATAGTTTAAGTTACAGTTATATACGATGTATGATGTATATTAAACAATATTTATTTTCATGAAGGGAAACACACAATCGTTAAATGTTTGACTTGTTACCATAAGCATATTTACCACAATTTAAGATAAATATTCTTAGCTTTGAAAGCATCATTTAAAAATTAATGTTTATAAAAGTATGAAACTATAACTTATGAAAAAATCGAATTTAATAAATTATTTTTTATCCTTTGCGTTCATTATCCATGTAGATTTGAAATTACGAAATGATGATAGACGAAAAGCAGCAACTTTTTGTTTTTTGGTTCGTAATCATTGCAGGGTGCAATATCAGAAGACTCGATCTAATGACTACGTTATATTAATTTTTTTTTAAAAGTTAGACGTGTTTCTTCGTCGGAGATAAATGTACGAATCGACGTAATATTCATTAAAATTGTACATATTATTGTTAATATACAGCCATCCAGGCACAGATCCAGAACAAAGGTATTATTTAGACTTACTTCTAGGGGGGGGACTCAAATTTTTTCTTTAATTCAGGCTTAAAATTTACAAGTAAAATTGTTGGTAATATTTAAATCAGGTGAATCCTTAATATTTGTGTTTTTTTTTATCTAATACCTTTTTTTATCTACTTAGAATCAACTTTTGTGTAGTTCTTTTTTAACACCTGTCTGTGTTTTGAAAGTTACACTTGTGTTTTATTTGATTTTTCACTAAGTATGGACTCGACAAAAAGCCCAATTAGCGATCGTCCCTTCGCCCTCCCTAAAATACGCCCATGTATTAATAATAATAAATGGGTAAATGACGATCAAATTACATGTGTATTACAATGTAAATTACAATGTAACAACGGAATTACGGAAAATTAAAACAAATGAAAAAAACATAACCAGTGACTAAAAACAAAATGATAATATAAAATATAATACTAATTATTGTTATTAGTACTTCTATCTCTAATTCTTATTATACATACTTATTTCTTATCTATTGCATATACCTATAGAAATAACATAATGACAGCAACCAAAAACAAATCTAATAATACTGCGTTTTCAACACACGTAAATAGATTCACCATCGTTCTCAGAATGTCTGAAAGGATCACGGCCCCTCACACCTCCCCCCTCTGGATCCGACCCTGCAGCCATCCGAGAGTTGTAACAAGTCTTCGGGCAAGAGTCCCGATAATTGTGCAGTAAAGCATGAAATATTGCGTAAAATAGGAGGTGTATAGGTCTTTTTATTACATATTAATGCCGCCCACAATCTTTATGTTATTAGAAACACAAAAAAAATGGCTTTTCCGTTTTGTTAATGCCGATATTCTTGTGTTTTTAAGTAGATGAAAACACAAAACAAAATTCAAATATATAAACACCATAAAAAAAAAAAAAAGGTTTACAATATTAAAATTTTCTTGTATTTTTAGCCAACGAGTTTCTTTTGTCTTAATGTTTATATGTTATTATAAGAAGTAGACCTTGTATTTTAAGACAGTTTATAAAATATGTGAATAAAAGAACTTTTAGTATGAGAGTATTATATAAATATACAAAAAAAAAAAAAATAAATAGGATTTATGTATTTGGTTTAAAAGCGATATTTACAAAAATGAAAAAAGTTAGTTTTATGTTAAACGTAGTGAATGTATTGTTTATTTTATTATTTGTTATATGAATGGATTGGCGAAAATGGTTTTTATATTTTTATGTTTTAATCAAGTTTTATCTAAAAAAAATATATGCTTTTTTTAATAATTGCTTGTAATATATATTGGTTTCGAAGAAATGTAGATGTTTGAGTATATTTTGAATAGGTACCTACGTTGGAAATTATTTTTCATTTCTCGTAATCGATATCGACATAATTGGTGGAGCAATTTTAAATACAATTTCGCATATTTAATTAATTTTCGTATAGTCTACATGATTCCGAAAGCTGTGAAAGCTATTGAAACATAAATTCATAAATTAATTTATACATTTTTAACTATCATGACTTAAATGTATGGCTGATACAGTTTCACATACTTTACATTTACTATTGAGTATTAAGTATTTTTTATACATAAACAAGTTACTGACTACTAGCTAGTAGAATTGACAACCATAGAGATGTGAGATAAAGAGTGAAATTTTAACCGTATTATTGTACATACATATGATTTTGAATAAATTGTAACGGAGCACACATCCAAAACGGCCATTTTCTGGACCATTACATAGTATTGAGTAACATTTGCGTATTACGTGTGGATAGGCAACATATATCACAAAACGGTGTCGACCAATTAGAAATAGGCACCAATATCGTTAAAAAATATTTACATAAAAACAACATCAAATTTCATACTGTACCGTCTTCATCTGAAAGGACCATCAAAATCGTTATTCGAGGGCTACTATCAGACATCACCAAACTCGAAATATCTGCTGAACTGAAAAGCAAGGGGTACGACGTCACTACCGTACGCCAATTTGGCAATGCCACCTGGAAATTTCTTTCCACATGGTCATTCTTGCTGCCACCCCTTTGAGCAAACAGATTTTCAACGAAAGTTCTCTCTTTTTCATGGCTATAAAAATTGAAGCTTACAAATCAAGCAACCCTGCACAGTGTTTCTCCTGCCAAAGGTTCGGACACTCTAGCCTGCACTGCGGCTATGCCCTTAGGTGCATCAAATGCGCCGGAGGCCACTTAGCCAAAGACCGAAAAGTCCAAAGTCCTGCGAAGAATCGTTGGCCCTTCGTGCGCCAATTGCGGCGGCACCCACACCACTAACTATAAAAGTTATCCTTCACTGTTTCAAGAGAAGGAGAAAATACGACCTGTCAGACCAAATACTGCTAAAATGTTTGATCAAGCTTCATCT